GAGTCAACTGTTTACAATTTGTGTCAATCTTGGACTTTGGATTTTGTGTAGCGGCTGACATCGGCAGGCTCGTCATCGGCGCACGTCCGAGATCGTCGGAGGAAACGTCATGCGAGTTGGCATCTTCATGTGGTCACCAACTGCGCGCGATAAAATCGGATGCGTGCGGCAAGTGGCGTCAAGCGTTATCGTCACGTTGCGCACGAGTTTCGGAGGTCTTCGGCACGAGGTGAACGTCATCACTGTGCGCGAAGATTTCGACTGGCTTCACGGCAGAAACGACAGCTTGCCGGGCAGGCCATGCGCATGGTGATTTGTGTCGGAAAATGCAACGGCGATGAGAGATGGCGTGACGACTGCCCGAAGAAAGCGGGGGTCTACCGTCGTCCCACCGGGTGCAGCTGGTGTGGCTGCAGGATGGTGCGGCGTTGGTGTTTTCGGCAGGAGCGGCACAGTGTGGGACGGAAGTTGTCTTTCAAACAACCATAAGGATTGGAAAAAGCCGCCTACGACTAGACTGTCTATCGTCAGGGTCACTTCTCCGCCTGCACCAAGTTCGGCAAAATTTTTGGAGCAACAGCAGCAGCCGACATTTATGCTTCAGGCACCACTGGTTCCCCTTGATCAAGGGAGGTTGTGCCACAGACAGGGCAGTACACCGGGCTTCAGGAGGCAAGAATTACGACCCACGTGGAAACACTCAAGCTGATGCCTAAAAGTTTGCGACTAAGCGGCGGTAGCCGGATGGGTACCACTACCGGCCGAGGTTTCCGAACGTTTCACATACCCCACACCAGGTAGCTTCGAAGGCAGCTTAAGTGGCGACAATCCTGGAGGGCACTGGACAAATAACGTGGGGCCCTGTATTTAGCCATGTGCTGGCTAAAAAGCGCGGGTATGCGCGCAAGTTTGACAGCTCGGCGTACAAGAATTTTTCGAGGATGCAACACTGATTCGGCCCCGACAAAACCGGACCATAGGCAACAGTTACCCTGCCGAAAAAGTCGGAGCTGAAACAATTGGTGCAGCTGTCGGAGTTTCTCCTACTTCAGCAGGCTACCTGGCGTAGATGCAGCGACGAAGATGAAGTCCCCGAAGCTGTGGGGTTTTAAACGTGATAAACGAGGTGGGCTACCAAGCAGCCGGCCTGACTGTTTGATATGATAAACACGATCCGGCTACGATAGCGTTTGCGCCTTCACCGAGTGTCAGAAAAATCGTGGGCAACAACGAGCAATACCTCATCCGACAAAAACGGACGCTCGTTGAACGGCGACAAGCGAAATTGTCAGGGGGTGAAGACAAAAAATTAATTGGAGGGAAAGTTGTGGGTGCTCTATCAGATCTCTTGGGTGAAAGGTTGAGCCCGTACACCACTCCACCGTGAATTTCGGGGTCTACTAGGTGGGCACTGCAAGGGTCAGAAATTTCACTCATGGAAGCACGGCGAGGGGCGTATTGCCAAGGGTACCTGGGATCTGCTAAGTAATTTCGACGGGTATGAAGACGGGTGAACGTTGGAGTATCAGGGTCAATAGCAGAAACGTCTGGGTTACACAGCAGAAAATACTTCGGGACTGCTCCAGCAACCATAATTTTCGGGCGCAATTCCTACGGTTGGCGACGGGTGGTCGTCTGCCTGCCAGCTGTTTCAACGTTTTACGGTGTACTTCAAAGGCATCTGGAGAAATTCTACAGCGGGATCTGCGGCATTGATGCGGGCTAGGTTCCGTGAAATTCGGTCCCGGTAGACCCATAGTTCTGGGTTCCGTAGAAGAAAGCGCCTCCTTTTGGTGGGCTGCTGGTGTGGTCAACCAAAGGCGATGAAAATGGCGACGAGTGGGCATACTAGATACACCGGTTCTTCAAGGGGATAACCTGCAGGTGACCAAGACGTACGAGTGTTTTTCGGCATTGACATTTACGGGAGTATCAGGGATCAGTATTACAAGAATTCGGTGGTGACGGCCGACAGTTCGAGGTGAATGACGGAGTTGCAGCGGCATTTGGTTAAGCGCGCGAAAACTTCCATGGTGAACTTCATAGCGGCAAAATCTACAGAGTTTCAGGGGTACCAGCCGCAACACTGGTGAAAATAATCGCAACAGGTGGGGGGAGGAAGGACAGCTTTTTCGCCTCTGCCCCGAACTCGGCGAATAACGACAACATCGCAGGCGGAGCTGACGTCATCAACAGTTCAAGTTCGAGTTTGAAAAAATATTTCGAACGTTAGGGGGAGGAACAGCAGCTGTATTTTCGCCTCTGCCGAGGAGTTTACGAAGAATCACGACAAATGCCTCGGCAAGCCACGACAAGGTCGCCGGAGATGCTGGCGTCATACGTACCTGAGTTCAGGTCTTTGACAGAGTTTTCACGGCAAGCGACCGGTCAGTTACTTAACGTTGCCCGCCTCGTCCAACGTCGCTGGGTTGGTACAACGACTTCGTGACGATATTTGACGACGAACTACGAACGATCCGGAGTCACGGCAGAAGAAACTCTGGATGGGTAGCTATTCTGCAAGCGACTAAGGGGATTTTTTTTTTTGGGTGGCTGTAGCTGACAACTGGAGATACTGCAACACATCGGGTGATTTGATGCTGCAGCAGCAATAGCGACTACAGGACAAGAAGAAAATTTTATTTGTAAAGTTTATTTCGAAGGGTCGCACCCGAGTCCAGGTGCACAATGATTTACCTTCTAAAAGGACTTCGCGGTTTACCCTGACGAGTTTTAATAGGTCAAGACAGTGACCGTACGCCACCGACTACCACTTCGACAGTGCTGCTGCTAAAAGTCAGACACGACCCATAATATTTGGTAGTCCTTCCTACCCTACGCATACAAGATGGTTATGGTTTCATGCCCTCGCAGCTGTGCACATTTTGGTGGGCAACAGTTTTCAACAAGGGGGGGGGGGGGGGGGGGGGGGGAGAGTGATTTCGCACGGTATTCCGTTGGCATTCTCTGACATTTCTGTCAGACTCGAGCAGCACGATGAACGTTCGAAATCAATATAATCGACATCAACGGTCTTTGCTCGTCGACCTCTGACATCATGTCAGACTTTCCGCCATTGTCGCGTTCATCTCTACCGTCTGACACACATTCGTCACATCAACGGCTCTCATTCATCGAAGGATTTCATTTCGACATTCGATTTCAACCACCCGATCGACATCGGCTGTATCAACGGCTGACATTTCAACTCTTTGAAATTCACCTGGTCAACGCGTTTAGCCACGCGTCAACACGAAAGTCAACGTGCTTCGGCACTGTCAGATCAGTTTCGACCGAGATCTGCAGTTTTCACGCTACTGCAAGACTCGCCTACGTATAAGGGGGTCGTATTTAGAAGGTGGGAGAGTGTAATGAATATGAATTCATTACTGTAGAGGCTGCTCCTAGCGAGGACAGCCCGAACTGTTCGCGTCAGTTTGGGTTCGGCCTACACTTCGGCCCGAACCACATTCCGAGTCGTTCCGCACCAATCGCGACACATCCAAACCACGCACGTCCCGAGGTCCGCGCCTAGCACGTGTTCACCCTATGAATGCCTGCTTTCTTCATTGTTTCATCATTCTGTATTCACAGTCTCTTTATAAAGTCTTCCACGCACTCTGTTTAGTACAACTCATAACAAATGGGTTGCTTCGTACCCCGAAAAGGAATTTGCTAACGAGAATGTCAGTTCCGCTATGTCCCGGCTATTCTCCACCGCTTTGAACCGCAACATACCAGCCTGAACAGCGGTGATTCATGAGCCGTAAACTCACATGACACACCCTGAGGAACAAACCAGATTCCACGAGATTGGGGAGCACGAGTCAGCTATTTGAACACACCCATGGTCCTTCATCCTCTGTAGCCCTCCCATTGCTCCGCCGATTTTTGAAACCCAGAACCGAGCTGCCACGCGGCCCACGCGTACTCTTTCCATCCAGCGGCCTTCCGCTCCGTCTGCGGCTCCGGCCTCCGGCGGGCGGCAGGATGCGCGCAGTGCGCGCGACGTTCCTGTGCCTGTCGCTCAACTTCACTCTCTGCAGCATCTTCAACGGCCGCCACTACACGGGCCGTGGCTCCCTGCCCACCGTCGAATCGGATGACGCCACATCAGCAGACACGGGACCAGCCGGCGTGTGGGCGTCGTCGGAAGCGTCGGGGTTTGTGCTGATGGACTCGCGGCAGATCTGCACGCACGACCAATGGTCGCGCGCCACGCAGGGCCTCATCCCCTCCTTGCAAGCGCTTACCTGGTGATGATCACGTCACGCTGACGTCATTCAGGCATCGTTTCTCTTAGCCCTTTCCTCCCATCTCTTATCTCCCCTCGCCCCTCCTCTCCCTTCCCCTCCGCGCCCCTCTCCCCGCCAGGAGCAGCGCCCTGTGCGACGACGACCTGCGCCTGCTCGCCGCGCTGCCTCCTCGCCCCGCCGCGCTGCACCTTGCCTCGCTGGCGCCGCCCCGCACGCCGCACGCCCCTGCCACGTGCCTGCGGCCCTTCGTGCGCAAAGGTGGGTGGGCGGACCCCCCTTCCCTGCTCACTGCTGCCTGGCCCCACAGCAAACACCAAACACAATGAAACACATTATCCCCCCTCCCTCTTCCCCCCGCCCCCACTCCCCAACCCACTCCCCCCTGCCTATCGCCTTCTCTCGCACGGGGCATGCCAGGCACCAAGCTCTTCTCTCTCTCGCACGCGCCCTCCCCGGCTGCTGCCTCCTCCAGCCCGCCCTCCCCCGCCCCCCCCCGCTGCCACGCCGCCGCGTCGTGGCACGCAGGGCGCCTGGGCGGGCTGGACCTGTGCGTGCTGCTGCACCCCTCCCCGCCCCCGCCCCCCCTCTTCCGCCCCCTCTGCCCCTCCTCCGCCTCCTGCCCCCCACGCTGCCCCGCTCCAGGCACGGAGGGGGTATGCAGAAGGGGGGAGGGTGAGGCGGGTAGTGGAGAAAAGAGTGTGAGGCGAGGGAAGGGGAGGAAGGAAGAGCAGAGCGGGGAGGGTGATGGCTGTGGGCATGGCGGGGAGGGTGATGGCTGTGGGCATGGCGGGGAGGGTGATGGCTGTGGGCATGGCGGGGAGGGTGATGGCTGTGGGCATGGCGGGGAGGGTGATGGCTGTGGGCATGGCGGGGAGGGTGATGGCTGTGGGCATGGCGGGGAGGGTGATGGCTGTGGGCATGGCGGGGAGGGTGATGGCTGTGGGCATGGCGGGGAGGGTGATGGCTGTGGGCATGGCGGGGAGGGTGATGGCTGTGGGCATGGCGGGGAGGGTGATGGCTGTGGGCATGGCGGGGAGGGTGATGGCTGTGGGCATGGCGGGGAGGGTGATGGCTGTGGGCATGGCGGGGAGGGTGATGGCTGTGGGCATGGCGGGGAGGGTGATGGCTGTGGGCATGGCGGGGAGGGTGATGGCTGTGGGCATGGCGGGGAGGGTGATGGCTGTGGGCATGGCGGGGAGGGTGATGGCTGTGGGCATGGCGGGGAGGGTGATGGCTGTGGGCATGGCGGGGAGGGTGATGGCTGTGGGCATGGCGGGGAGGGTGATGGCTGTGGGCATGGCGGGGAGGGTGATGGCTGTGGGCATGGCGGGGAGGGTGATGGCTGTGGGCATGGCGGGGAGGGTGATGGCTGTGGGCATGGCGGGGAGGGTGATGGCTGTGGGCATGGCGGGGAGGGTGATGGCTGTGGGCATGGCGGGGAGGGTGATGGCTGTGGGCATGGCGGGGAGGGTGATGGCTGTGGGCATGGCGGGGAGGGTGATGGCTGTGGGCATGGCGGGGAGGGTGATGGCTGTGGGCATGGCGGGGAGGGTGATGGCTGTGGGCATGGCGGGGAGGGTGATGGCTGTGGGCATGGCGGGGAGGGTGATGGCTGTGGGCATGGCGGGGAGGGTGATGGCTGTGGGCATGGCGGGGAGGGTGATGGCTGTGGGCATGGCGGGGAGGGTGATGGCTGTGGGCATGGCGGGGAGGGTGATGGCTGTGGGCATGGCGGGGAGGGTGATGGCTGTGGGCATGGCGCGGAGGGTGATGGCTGTGGGCATGGCGGGGAGGGTGATGGCTGTGGGCATGGCGGGGAGGGTGATGGCTGTGGGCATGGCGCGGAGGGTGATGGCTGTGGGCATGGCGCGGAGGGTGATGGCTGTGGGCATGGCGGGGAGGGTGATGGCTGTGGGCATGGCGGGGAGGGTGATGGCTGTGGGCATGGCGGGGAGGGTGATGGCTGTGGGCATGGCGGGGAGGGTGATGGCTGTGGGCATGGCGGGGAGGGTGATGGCTGTGGGCATGGCGGGGAGGGTGATGGCTGTGGGCATGGCGGGGAGGGTGATGGCTGTGGGCATGGCGGGGAGGGTGATGGCTGTGGGCATGGCGGGGAGGGTGATGGCTGTGGGCATGGCGGGGAGGGTGATGGCTGTGGGCATGGCGGGGAGGGTGATGGCTGTGAAGCACTTTCACGAAGCCATCACGCTTTTCAACCTGGTATGATGTTGGTGATGACAATTGTCGTCATGATGGTGATGGTGATCATAGTCATGAGGATGGTGATGGTGATCATAGTCATGAGGATGGTGATGGTGATCATAGTCATGAGGATGGTGATGGTGATCATAGTCATGAGGATGGTGATGGTGATGGTGATGGTGATGATGATGGTGATGGTATCATGGTAGTACTCATGATGCAGCTATTCCGTCACATGCACAATCGCATGCACCATCGCATGCACCATCGCATGCACCATCGCATGCACCATCGCATGCACCATCGCATGCACCATCGCATGCACCATCGCATGCACCATCGCATGCACCATCGCATGCACCATCGCATGCACCATCGCATGCACCATCGCATGCACCATCGCATGCACCATCGCATGCACCATCGCATGCACCATCGCATGCACCATCGCATGCACCATCGCATGCACCATCGCATGCACCATCGCATGCACCATCGCATGCACCATCGCATGCACCATCGCATGCACCATCGCATGCACCATCGCATGCACCATCGCATGCACCATCGCATGCACCATCGCATGCACCATCGCATGCACCATCGCATGCACCATCGCATGCACCATCGCATGCACCATCGCATGCACCATCGCATGCACCATCGCATGCACCATCGCATGCACCATCGCATGCACCATCGCATGCACCATCGCATGCACCATCGCATGCACCATCGCATGCACCACCATTCCACCCTGCCATCACCCCACCAACCCACCCACGCTTTTCAAGGTATTGCCTTTCCCTGGCTCCCCTATCACCGCCTTCCACTCCCCTATCACCGCCTTCCACTCCCCTATCACCGCCTTCCACCCACCCCCGTTCCAGCACTGCACCGAGCGTCCCATGCGCCACCCTTGTGCCTACTCCCCCTGTCCTCTATCCGCTCTCCCCTATCCCCTATGCCCTACCCCGTGCCCCCTGACCCCCCCTGGCGGGGCGGCGAGCAGGTGGAGCGGGAGGAGGAGGTGAGGGAGGCGGTGCTGGTGGGGCGCGGCATGGCGCACTCGCTGCTGGCCCACCACCGCCTCGCCCTCCAAGACTTCTCCACCGTGCGTGCCCGCCCCCCTGCCCCCATGCGTGCCCCCCTGCCCCCATGCGTGCCCCCCAACCCCCATGCGTGCCCCCCTGCCCCCATGCGTGCCCCCCAACCCCCATGCGTGCCCCCCTGCCCCCATGCGTGCCCCCCAACCCCCATGCGTGCCCCCCTGCCCCCATGCGATCCCCACAGCTGGTTAGAGGCGAGGCACAGCTGGTTAGAGGCGGGGCACAGCTGGTTAGAGGCGAGGCACAGCTGGTTAGAGGCGAGGCACAGCTGGTTAGAGGCGAGGCACAGCTGGTTAGAGGCGAGGCACAGCTGGTTAGAGGCGAGGCACAGCTGGTTAGAGGCGAGGCACAGCTGGTTAGAGGCGAGGCACAGCTGGTTAGAGGCGAGGCACAGCTGGTTAGAGGCGAGGCACAGCTGGTTAGAGGCGAGGCACAGCTGGTTAGAGGCGAGGCACAGCTGGTTAGAGGCGAGGCACAGCTGGTTAGAGGCGAGGCACAGCTGGTTAGAGGCGAGGCACAGCTGGTTAGAGGCGAGGCACAGCTGGTTAGAGGCGAGGCACAGCTGGTTAGAGGCGAGGCACAGCTGGTTAGAGGCGAGGCACAGCTGGTTAGAGGCGAGGCACAGCTGGTTAGAGGCGAGGCACAGCTGGTTAGAGGCGAGGCACAGCTGGTTAGAGGCGAGGCACAGCTGGTTAGAGGCGAGGCACAGCTGGTTAGAGGCGAGGCACAGCTGGTTAGAGGCGAGGCACAGCTGGTTAGAGGCGAGGCACAGCTGGTTAGAGGCGAGGCACAGCTGGTTAGAGGCGAGGCACAGCTGGTTAGAGGCGAGGCACAGCTGGTTAGAGGCGAGGCACAGCTGGTTAGAGGCGAGGCACAGCTGGTTAGAGGCGAGGCCAAGGTTAAAAAATACGACCGTATTTTTGAAAATTTACCGTAAATTACGGTATCGTAATTTACGGTCGTAAATTACGGTAAAAAACGGTTCGACCTTGCAAAATTAGGTTGGTTCAAAAATACAGTCGTAAATTACGACCGAAATTTTGAAACCGAGTTTGTGTCTAGCGAATTTCAACATTTCCCAACCATTACCCTGCTTGTAAGAAGTTTCGTGCGCCCAAATCCACGAGAGTGTGCTTTTTTCCCGCGTAGTGTGGGGAGGGAGTAGGAGAAGATGTGCCTAAAGGTAGATACTACTAGGTAGGCTTAGCCATGGTAGTCGTGTAGTGGTCCATTATATATTTATATATAAATATATATAAATATAGACATGTGCATTGAGTCGAGTTTCTCGACTCGACTCGATCGGGGGACTCGATACGGGTCGAGTGTCGAGTCCGCGAAACCACTGAAAAAACTCGACCGAGTCGAGTCGAGTTTTACCCGTCGAGTTTTAAAAAACTCGGTGAAAGCTCGGCCCCACATCGAGTTTTCTGCAGACTCGACGAGCTTTTGGGGCTCGAACGAGTTTACGAAAAACTCGGTCGCGACATTGGCAGCAAGGACAAATTGTAAAATGTTCACTTTGGCGGGGTTCTTTTTAGATCGCGATTTCAGTTAGTCCTCTTCCTAAGGGTGTGTAAGATCCCCGTGCACACGTTTTGGCTGAATTTTGTCGACCATTTTGGTCGACAAAGCTTTCGCGAAGGTCGACAGATTAGTCGTCACCAGGTCGACAAATTTTCGGCCAACTCAGTGTGGCCTCCAAATCTGACACGGTTTTGCTGGCCGCTGTAACAGAGGTGGAAGATTTTGGTTTGTCCTTTTTTACGACTTGGTGCGACGATGTCGCACACATGAATACGATGTCGCAATTTCACTGTAGCAGCGTATGCGACTTCGTTTCTCACTGTAGACAGCTGCTGTCGACAGCATGGCCGATTTGAAGTCGACCACGCGTCGGAAAAGAGTCGACTAGTTTTCCGGCCATCAAATCACAAATTTGATGGTTGAAATTGACGAGATTCGCAAACCGATCACGAAATGGTTACTTTCGCTACGGCCACCTAATTTTGATGGCCGATTCTGTGTGCACGGGGATCTTACACGCCCTAAGCCTATCATAGGTGGAAACCTGAGCCTAGACAGCCAAACTCATGGCTGGTTTTCCATCTTAAACTTAAGTTAGGTTTACGGAATCCTAGATCTACGTTTATAGTTAATGTCGCGTTTTTTACATATGCAGTTTTCCTATTAGGGTTTCCTGAGGCGGAATCGCACCTATTTAACGGTAGATCTGGTTTATTTTTGATGGCGAAATTTAAGCAAGGGGTGAGTAAGAACCCAAACGGCGGGAAAGGTGGAACGGGAGGAACTCACCATGGCAATCATGCGCGAGTGGAGGTGGGGGCAGGCCAAGTTGTGCTTACATGCGCTATACAACACATATCCTTGTACCAAAATGTATGGTGTTTCCACAGCCCCCCCCCCCCCCCCCGAGTCGAGTTTTACTCGGCTCGGCCGAGTGTAAGAAAAAAGCCCGTTGAGTTTTTCAAAACTCGAGCCCTATCTAAGCGAGTCTCGAGTCCAGCATCATGAGAAAAAAGCTCGGTCGAGTTTCCCCCGACTCGAGCTCGAACTCGGTCGAGCTTAAGCCAGACCGAGTCGAGTTTTACTCGACTCGGTCCGATGCACATGTCTATATAAATATATATATATAGATGTATATAAATAGATATATTCACAAATGCCGACTCTGTGGTGATTAACCGAACGGTGGTGTTGGATCCCGATGTTTCTCTATGGTCACACGGTGATGCAATTGACGTGTTTCTGTAAAAGGTGCTGGGAAGGGCATGCCAGCAGTGCTTGAGAAGGGCGGTTGCATGCAAGGTGCAATGGAGTTGAACAGACCATGCGTTGAATGTTTGATACGCCTGATTTGAATGTTAGAAAAGAATACAGCCTGTCAAAGGAATTACAGAGCTGATGATTTTATGTAATTTCTAAGGAAGGCAAGCAGTGTTTACATAACTTTTTAAGCACCAGACTTATGTTAGGTATCATTAGCTATTGCCTTAAGAGTGTTGTAGTGAATACTTTTTTTAAACAGAGGGTTCAGTCAGCTAGGGTACGTGGAAGTGGCATGGATAGTGTCATGATGGTGTGGACTCATTGCATTTCCTCCTGCTGTGCTGTTATCGCCGTGCTGCCTGCACGTGGCGTGGCAGGGGGTGAAGCTGTTTCCCAACAATGCAGAGCTCTGGAGGCGACGAGGCTTGCTGCACGCCGCCATGGGCAAGAGGAGAGAGGTGAGCAGCGGTGCATGGCGGCATGGGCAAGAGGAGAGAGGTGAGCAGTGGTGCATGGCGGCATGGGCAAGAGGAGAGAGGTGAGCAGCGGTGCATGGCGGCATGGGCAAGAGGAGAGAGGTGAGCAGCGGTGCATGGCGGCATGGGCAAGAGGAGGTAAGACGTTGAAAGCATTGGAAAAGGATAGACAAAGGAGTGACAAGGGATGAAGAAGAGGGAAAGAAACAGGAGCAGGGAGAAACAGGAGCAGGGAGAAACAGGAGCAGGGAGAAACAGGAGCAGGGAGAAACAGGAGCAGGGAGAAACAGGAGCAGGGAGAAACAGGAGCAGGGAGAAACATCAAGGAGGAGACGTTGCTTTTCTCGTTTGGACCCTTTCTCTCCTTGCACGCGTCCACCCTTTCTCCACATTGCGGCACAGCGTGGTCATGGTGCATGGTGCATGGTGCATGGTGCATGGTGCATGGTGCATGGTGCATGGTGCATGGTGCATGGTGCATGGTGCATGGTGCATGGTGCATGGTGCATGGTGCATGGTGCATGGTGCATGGCGCATGGTGCATGGGGCATGGTGCATGGTGCATGGTGCATGGTGCATGGTGCATGGTGCGTGGTGCATGTGGCATGGTGCATGGTGCATGGTGCATGGTGCATGGCGCATGGTGCATGGGGCATGGTGCATGGTGCATGGTGCATGGTGCATGGTGCATGGTGCATGGTGCATGGTGCATGGTGCATGTGGCATGATGCATGGTCCATGTGGGAGTGGCATGGCATGGTGCATGTGGGAGTGGCATGGCATGGTGCATGTGGAAGTGGCATGGCATGGTGCATGGTGCATGTGGCATGGTGCATGGTGCATGGTGCATGGTGCATGGTGCATGGTGCATGGTGCATGGTGCATGGTGCATGGTGCATGGTGCATGGTGCATGTGGGAGTGGCATGGCATGGTGCATGTGGGAGTGGCATGGCATGGCATGGCATGGCATGGCATGGCATGGCATGGCATGGCATGGAGCAGGCGATGGCGGACCTGAGTCGCTCGCTGGACCTCGACCCCGCCAACCACGAGGCACTGCTGCACCGAGGTGATGCCCGCTCACACGCGCGGTTAGGAGCGGTGATGAGCGGTCGTGTTACACTGCAGACATACATAGCGTACACATTTTTGTTGAGGCATTGGCACGTATTGTAACAGGCATGTGTTGTAAGAGGCATGTATTGTAAGATGCACGTATTATAAGAGGCATGTATTGAAAGAGGCATGTATTATGAGCAGCATGTAGTGTAAGAGGCATGTATTGTAAGAGGCACGTATTGTTAGAGAGGCATGTATTGTGAGCGGCATGCATTGAAAGAAGCATGTTTTTATAAGTGGCATGTATTGTAAGAAGTACCCTCACACAGACTCGCACTCTCACACAGATCTGGATGGACAGAGGAGGTAAATTCTAGATCTACATGAGCTTGACCTCTTGAATCTCCTACACACCTAGACTTCTTCCAAAGACGCTCCTCCCACCTGGACAGCTATAGACGGTTTGGAAAGTTGCATGTGAGATGACATGCACGCACAGCCCGAGTCGCTCACCCGGCATGCTCCTGGTCCAGGAAACATGCGCCTTTGTTTGTGAGTGCGTGCTTGCGTTCCAAGTTTGTGTTATTATCGCGAGACCAACAAGTTGGAGTGTCGACCCATTCGACTCGGAACTTTAACATGTAGTTCTTAAATCCTACGTGTGATTTCTTAATATCCTAGATGTGATTTGCGAATGGATTTTGGTAAATACACAACCATATCGGTTCGAACCGCCTCTCCTACTCCCATCCCATGTTGCATCGCTGTTACTCTAAGCATGCATTGGCCGGGTGGGGTTGACCCCGCCCAACCCAGCTTTTTGCTCGGGCTGGGTGGGCAGTGCTCTGACGCCCACCGGCCATGTGGGTGGACCACCCGCCGGGTCTGGTTGAATCAGCACCCAAAGGATGTAATGCAGGCCAGGTCAGACGCCTGGGTAGAGGGGTGAAGCAAGCGGAATGCGGGTGGGTTGAACCGACGGGCTTGCCAATGGCGAGGTCTGTTACATGCTGGCAGATTCAGTGCGGTGAAGAGTGGTAAGCAGCGAAAACTGGTTGAGAACTTTTTTCCTCAACGAAATCTATTGGATAAGAGGAGGTGTACAGCTCTCTGCGACGCACGAGGTGAGCACAGTCGATGACATGATATTGGGGGGGGTGGGGGAGTGAATGTTAGATTATGCATCACTCTGGTATAGTGTTGAACCTATTGAATGCGCTCAACTTAAACTGAAGCGAACAATTCAACTCGAACCGTTCTGGCAAAAACAAACGGCAGGTCGGCCCTCTTCTCAACCCTAAGTGTGCGGTACAGTGCAGCATGCATGCATGTGTGTTGTGTGGTGGCAGGCTCGCTGCACTTCCACGCGCACGACTACTGGGCGGCCATCCGCGACTTCTCCACGCTGCACGATGCCCACCCGCCCGACCCGCTTCTCTTCAACGCCCTCGTGCGCTCCTCTGCTCGCCCCTCTCGCCCTGCTCTCCCCTATCGCCCCGTTCACGCCCTCTCTTGCGTCTCGGCTTGCATGCTCCCCTCTCACATGTTCCTTCGGTTTTTGCGTGCTCGCTTCCTTAGTGACCGCGCACAGCACCACATTCACCGTCCAGCTTCATGGACGCCACGCCATATCCACTACACCAACCACGTGTTCCTTGCGTTGTTTTGTCCTCACTGTGCTTTCCACTCTCATGCACTCTCCCATGCCACCACACCACTCGCCATTCATCTTCTCTCGCCTCCCCCATGCGCCCACACCTCCTCTCCCCTTTCCCTTCCCATTCCCCCCTTATTCCTGGCACGCAGGGTCTGGCGCTAGCAGGGGCGGGGGAGTGGAGGAGGGCGGCGGAGGTGTTTGAGCGCGGGGCGGCGCTCTTCCCTTCCGCCGTGCAGCTGTGGCTGGAGGGCGGCCGCGCCTTCAAGGAGCTGGGCGCCGTGCACCCCGCGCTGCATGCGCTCGAGCGCGCCGTGGCTCTGGAGGAGTGAGTGCAGCGAGCCGTGGCTAGCCCTGAACTGAACTGGAAAAATTTCTAACTAAATTAACCAAAACCAAACCGAACTGGTCCTTCGCTCCCTCTCCCTCGCTCGCTCCCTCCCTCGTTGCTCGCTCCCTCCCTCCCTCCCTCCCTCTCTCCCTCCCTCCCTCCCTCCCTCCCTCCCTCCCTCCCTCCCTCCCTCCCTCCCTCCCTCCCTCCCTCCCTCCCTCCCTCCCTCCCTCCCTCCCTCCCTCCTCCCTCCCTCCCCCTCCCTCCATCCATCTATCTGTTAGTGTTAGCCCTCAATCTCACGTTCTGTACTTGCACTTTGTATGTCCTAGTGTTGTGTAGTTTGCACTTTGTGTTGGGTTGGGTGTACACCCACATCCCAACCAAACCCAAATGTGATCTCCAAGCAATCTCCAACCCACCAAACGGAGATTGCATTGGGATTACTCCCAATCTTTAGAGATTGCCCCCGATTCGCCTCCCCATCCATTTCCTGCTCTTCCTGGTTGTACTTAAGGAGCTTCGAGCTCATTACTCATGCATGGATTCTAAGCTCAATTTCTGACACCATCCACCCACGTGTGAGCCCATCAGGTCTACAGTGGCATACCACCGCTTGGCATCGCTACACCAACTAACGGGCGATCACAGGTGCGCATTACGACAATGCCTATGAGCCAAGCAGGGATTGCAATTTTGTGGGAGTGGTGTGGTATGAAGAAAGTTGAAGTCAAGTGAAGCACGCGGCAGCGATCGCTAAAAGAGGACTTGGCTGTGCGAGCCGGCCGACCCAGCCACCGGGGCACGAGGCGAAGGTGGCATGAGGGGGAAGGTGGCATGAGGGGGAAGGTGGCATGAGGGGGAAGGTGGCATGAGGGCGAAGGTGGCATGAGGGGGAAGGTGGCATGAGGGAGGCGGATGAGGGGCAATGAAATGAAGCACCTTGTGGAACGAGTTAGGAAGAAAGGCTTGGTATAATCGTATTGGTCTCATGCCCATTCATGAATACGACAGGTTTGGTGTGGTTCTCAAGTACATACAAGCCTCAGAGGCATGAAAATCACCAAGCAAGAGCCTAATGTTTCTGATCTCTGCTCTTGGGTAATCACCGCAACCATGCATGACTCTCAGAGGCATCACTCATGCTCGTGGGCGCTGTTTTCCGTTGGCTTGAGTTGAGGATTTGGTGTTCACAGCAAGGGTTTAGCAGATTAGGGTCTCATCTCATGAAATGCAGCCAACCCATGCACGCACGGTGCTGTGCCTCGCCCCCCCCTAGACATGAGCACAAGGGCAAACACCTTCGAGGCGAACAGAACACTTAATGTTTTTTGGCCTAAGGTGTTCGGGGCGAACAGAACACTTAATGTTTTTTGGCCTAAGGTGTTCGGGGCGAACAGAACACTTAATGTTTTTTGGCCTAAGGTGTTCGGGGCGAACAGAACACTTAATGTTTTTTGGCCTAAGGTGTTCGGGGCGAACAGAACACTTAATGTTTTTTGGCCTAAGGTGTTCGGGCCGAACAGAACACTTAATGTTTTTTGGCCTAAGGTGTTCGGGGCGAACAGAACACTTAATGTTTTTTGGCCTAAGGTGTTCGGGGCGAACATGTTCGCGTTCAGTTCTCTGCAGCTAACCGAACCACTCCCAACACAAATGTGTTGGTCGGAAAAAGTCTCTCGTTGTTTAGGTCGGCGGGGCACACCAGTCGAGCTCATTCGTAAGCTCAACTTTTGCCTAACCCCCCTCCCACAGCGTGGACGACAAGCTCCAGCAGCTAGGGTACCTAGATTCCAATGAAATAGTTTGGCGGAACCAAAATTTACTCTTTGGTGTTTCATTTCCTCCACTTCCAATCGTCCAGCAGGTATAGGCACAGCACCGTGGACGCCAGAATTCACCATCCTTGCACCGTGCCTACAGACCAAGTCGAACATGCTGCTGCTCGCCGCCAACACCTGGCGAGCACCGACAACCTCCTTCACCGGATTGTGTTGGGCCGGCCGGCCGATCACGAACATGTTGAGGTCGCCAAACACGAGTGCTCCAGGCAAGGCACACACAAACATGTTCGTGTTCGCCTGCTGCTCACCCCTACTCCCCCCTGCGTGCGGGGTGTGCGGGGTGGGGTGGCAGGGCGGCGATGGAGAGTGCGCAGAGGGGGCTGCGGGGCAACCCGGGTGACATCGAGCTCAACCACGTCGTGGCCTCCGCGCTGCACGCCCTCGGCCACTTCCCCGCCGCTGTCAGCCGCCACCCGCCACCGATGCCCTGCCCATGGACATGTGCTGCATGCATTACCGTGCCCATGCAACTGTGCTGCATGCATTACCGTGTGCATGCCCATGCCTATTCACATGCCAATGCCCATGCCCATGCCCATGCCCATGCCCATGCCCATGCCCATGCCCATGCCCATGCCCATGCCCATGCCCATGCCCATGCCCATGCTCATGCCCATTCCCATTCCCATGCCCATGCCCATGCCCATGCCCATGCCCATGCCCATGCCCATGCCCATGCCCATGCCCATGCCCATGCCCATGCACAAGCCCATACCCATACCCATGCGCTGCAAGCATGGGCTGTATGTGAGCATGGGCATGGGCATGCACTCCATCCTTCCTGGATTGCCCCTCACCGTGTCTTTAGAATCCTCCAAGCCAACCCACCTGCACCTCTGCTGTGCCACCTGCACCTGTGCCACCTGCACCTGTGCCACCTCGCTCCATTCACCCCAACCCTTCAACACCGTTCCTGTCTGCCTCCCCCCCACCCCCCGGGCAGCTGAGGCAGTACGACCATGTGCTCACCCTCAGTGCGGGGGACACACCGGGAGCCTTCCACGTGCTGCAGTTCATGGCCTTCTATCAGGTAGGGCGGCAGTTCATGGCTTTCATGCTCACCCGTCATTCTTTGTGACATGCTTCTTTCCAAACCATCTCTCCTTGTGATTCCGCTTCTAGTCCAATGCTGTCTGTGCCCATCACATGCGCCCATCACATGCGCCCATCACATGCGCCCATCACATGCGCCCATCACATGCGCCCATCACATGCGCCCATCACATGCGCCCATCGCATGCGCCCATCGCATGCGCCCATCACATGCGCCCATCACATGCGCCCATCACATGCGCCCATCACATGCGCCCATCACATGCGCCCATCACATGCGCCCAGCACATGCGCCCATCACATGCGCCCATCACATGCGCCCATCGCATGCGCCCATCACATGCGCCCATCACATGCGCCCATCACATGCGCCCATCACTTGCGCCCATCACATGCGCCCATCACATGCGCCCAGCACATGCGCCCATCACATGCGCCCATCACATGCGCCCATCACATGCGCCCATCGCATGCGCCCATCACATGCGCCCATCGCATGCGCCCATCACATGCGCCCATCGCATGCGCCCATCCCGTGCGCCCATCACATGTGCCTATCAATCATCACATGTCCCCATGGCTGCACGGCTGTCCCGCAGAGGGAGATCGCAGCCTACACCGTGCGCAGCCTCGACGCGCCCTTCACTGCCTTCCGCCTCGACCATGACCTTGATCTCAACTTCCGCGTATGTTCCTGGGATGGGACGCTCCACATGAACTCTGGGGTAATGTTCTGGGGTCCGAGGCGTTACTCCTTTGTTTGCCATCCTTTCTGGTTGATGCGCTGTGTGCTGCATCTCTCTTCTCATGCTGCCCCTCAACATTCTTGTCTTCTTATTCTTTTCATTCTTGTTTTTTTCATTCTTATTCTTTTCATTCTTACTTTTCATTCTTGTTCTTTTCATTCTTGTTCTTTTCATTCTTGTTCTTCTCATTCTTATTCTTTTCATTCTTATTCTTTTCATTCCTGTTCTTTTCATTTTTTTTCTTTTCATTCTTGTTCTTTTCATTCTTGTTCTTTTCATTCTTGTTGCCCTGCACGCCTGTCTTGCCTCCAAACACAACTGCCCTCCCCCACCGCCACTCCCCTACTGTGCCCCCAGGAGGCGTGGGTGAAGAAGCTCTCGCCGTGGACGCTCTTCCCCGCCTACCAGCCCATCCGCCTCACCCTACCAATCCTCTCGGCAGCCTCCCAAGCCTCGCTGCCGAGCCTGTCAAAGCAGGCGCTCGTTCTGATTGGCGAGGCTGACAGGATCGGGCAGCGCACGCAGTACCACGTGGATGGGTTCTTCCCCAACCACCGACAGGTGTGCTGTGCCGCCATGGCCATGCAGCAGCGACTCTGAGAGCTCAAGGGGGGGGGGGGGGACACAGCGTGCGAGCAAGGTGGGTGGTGGTGTTGAGAGCGATGTGTTGCATGCAATGATGGGGACAGGTAGGGTTACTCGTGTTAAAATTGTAACGAGAAGGTGGGGCATTACCTTGGTACGGAACACACCACCTCGGTGTGTATGTCATGTTTTTCTAGGAAAGTGCCCCATCATAGCAATTTTGCAACACAAAATGTCAGGCAATTTTTTTCCATTCTTTCTTTCTTTCTTTCTTCTTCTGGCCCAACGAAAATTAGACATGCGCAGGTTGACCTGACGATTTGGGTCGACCCGACCCGACACTATTTTGGTCGGGTCGGGTCGACGTCTTCGACATGGCCGACCTTGGTGATTTGGGTCGATTCATCCCGGTCGGTTCGGGTCGACCGAAGACTTATTTTGGGGGTCGACCATTGGGGTCAGGTCGACTCGACCCGACCTAACCTATGTGCTGCACTTATCACCTCCCAAGGTGGCCGAGTTGCGCACATCCGTGATCGATTTGCTCCGATCTGCATAAATCGCCGATTTGGAATGATGACAGAGATGGTGAGTGTGTTGCAGAGCCTGTCATCTGGGCTTGAGCGACTGAGGGAGCTGCGGGGGGCGATGGAGGCGCAACAGAGGCAGCAGCAGAAGATCCAGATGCAGTGGCAGCAGGAGCAGCCGATGCTTCAACAACAGCAGCAGCATAAAATGCAGTGGCAACAGCAACAGCCGATGCAGCAGCGGTCGATGGGCGAAATCACCGAGCGAAATCACCGAGCGAACGGATTGGCAATCGAAATCTGTCGATCCCCGAAAATTGACGAATGAAATTGCCGACCCGCATGGATCAGGGGGGAAAAATGCCAATTTTCCGGGAATCGATGGGCAAAGCTGCCGATTTGTTAGTAAAAAGGCGACCGGTCGGTCAACCCGATTCACCATCGGGTTGACCTGACTCGCCCTCAGGTGACATGTCACATTTGCATGAATGTGAACGGGATAGCGAGGAGAGAATGGGGCTGTACAATTGTACATACTGTATATAACGAGCGGAGCAGTGCCGAGGATGGGATGCGAAGGGTCAAGGTGGTGTTTGCGGTAAGTAGGGAGACCAAGGGGTGCGAGGAAGTGTGATGGCTGCCGAAGCGAAGGGTTGGGGAATGCATGGCAGTGGTACGGGGCGGGATTTACGTAAGCGGAAGGAGAGAGTGAGTGGGAATTACAGCGCAAGGCAGCGGCAGCAGAGGCAGGGAGTTACCACCGGCACTTGGATGGGTGTACGCGTGCATATGTGTTTGTTTCCCTGTGTGTGCAGGCAAGCTCTCAGGAGCCAGCTGGATCTGGAAGTGTCAGCTGGAGGCAAAGTAGCTAGAGGCGGGGAACACAGATGGCAGGCAGCAGGGATGTACGTCTTCTCAAAGGCAGCTATAGCAACTAGAGAGGAGACTAGGGAAGGAGCAGAGCGGTGTGGAGGCAGAGCTGGTAGAATAGGCGGAACCTGGTAGAGCTAGCCTCAATGCTTGTATGTTTCCTTTGTAAACACGAACTTCTTGCACTCGACTGAGCAAGTAGTGAGAAGAAGGAGATATTGCAAGCAGAGATGTGACAAGCAGTTAGATCGGTGTGTTATGTGAAGGAGCTAGAGCTTATCAGAGTGAGTGCGTCAGAATGAGCAGTGAGCGGAGAGGGGGTGGAGATCACGAGACGAGAGAAGAGAGGAGAGCAGGCGGGGATGAAGGGAACCCAGGGAGAAAGTGATATCTAGAGAGAGGACGTCAGTCATTGGCAGAGGTCTGAGAGAGAGCAGTAAGAAATGAAGGGAGGTGGTGAGGTTCCGACAGAAAGCCTGTAGAAAAGCAGACCTATGTGCACAATGTGCACAAGGAGAGGCTGGTTCAGAAGTGTTGAGAAGGTTCTATAAACTGAAAGGTAACTGCAATGATAAGTACTGTCAGAACTTGCTCATAACTGATACATTAGTAGTGAGCTCAAAGCTCTTTAAGTACATCAGGAATGAGCAAGGTATGGATGAGGAGGGAATCAGGGGGCAATCCTAGGGAGTTAAGGCTAATCCCAAGGCAATCTCCAATTGGTGGGTTGGAGATTGCTTGGAGATTACATTTGGGTTTGGTTGGGATGTGGGTGTACACCCAACCAAACACAAAGTGCAAACTACACTAACCTAGGATATAAAAGTACAAGTACAAAATGTGAGATTGAGGGCTAACACCAACACCCCCCCATAGGCGTCAATCGAACTCATGGCGGAGAAGGAGGAGTGCAGAGCCCCATGGCGCCTAAAAGGCGATGGTGAGGGACCTTCCCAAGGGGCTTGGTGAACAGATCAGCCAAGTTGCAGTCGGAAGCCACATACTCTACATTGAGCTGCTCTCGCTGGACAAGGTCACGGATGAAGAAGTGTCCAAGTTCGATGTGCTTGGTGCGAGTGTGGTACACGGGATCCTGGGAGAGGTGAATGGTGCTCTGGTTGTCACACCAGAGGGTGGGAGTGGACTGAGGAAAGCCAAGCTCCTGGAGTAGGAAGGTGAGCCAGCGGGCCTCCTGAGCCGCCATGGTGCCGGCATAGAGCTCGGCTTCATAGGAGGAGAGGAAGACTGCAGATGACCGGGTGGAGCGCCAGCTGACAATCCCGCTCCCAAGGGTGAAGCAGTAGCCTTGGGAGGAGCGTCGGTCGGTCTGGTCATCTGCCCAGGAGGAGTCTGTGTAACCTTCCAGTCGAGGAGGGGAAAGCCCACCAAGGGTGAGGACATGGGACTTGGTGCCCTGCAGATGGCGCAACACCCGCTTTGCCGCTTTCCAATGAAGGTCTGTGAAGCGCCCAGGAGCCACATATCGAGAGAGGACATTGACAGGGTATGCCAAGTCAGGGACCCAACAAGCTTTGGGTACGGCTCAGTGCATGCCTCTGGTGTGGGTACAGCTGGGGCGGTGAGGAGGTGTTGTAGGGGAAGTGGGGTGGCGATGGGTGTGCACTGCTCCATCTCAAACCGCTTGAGCACATTGTTGATGTAGAACTCCTGGGAAAGAGAGATGGTGCGAGCCTGGCGATCGCGAGTGATCTCCATCCCCAGGTTGTGTTTGAGATGACCGAGGTCTTTCATCAAGAGGGCCTTGCTTAGGGCCTCCTGAACAGAGGCCATCTGGGCCGAGTCCTTGGCAACGAGGATGAAGTCATCGACGTAGACAAGGATGTAGAATGGCTCAGAGTGGCGACGAATGAAGAGGGTCGGGTCGGCAGAGGATGGGTGAAAGTCCAGTGAGAGAAGGACTTCCTTCACTTTGTTGTGCCATTCCCGAGGGGCTTGCTTGAGGCCGTAGACAGGGCGATTCAGCTTCCAGACAGTGTTGGGAGGGAACTCTCCTGGAAAGCCTTCAGGTCGATCCATGAATACAGCTTCCTTGAGGCGTCCTTGCAGGAAGGCCGAAGATGCGTCTAAGGATTTGATCTCAAAGTCTTCTCGTGCTGCTACATCCAAGAGCGTGCGAACAGTGGGTGGTTTGGATGTGGGGGAGAAGGTCTTGAAGAAATCCAGGTACTGCTGCTGGGTGAACCCTTTGGTCACGTAACGCGCTTTGAACATCGGGGCCTCGTTCGGAAGCTGTTTCACTCGAAACAGCCACTTGCCACCAACGATGTTAACTCCTGGAGGTGGAGTTTCGTCGTCGAAGGAGTGGTTGCGGGTGAAGGCTTCAATCTCAGCTTCCATGGCAGCACGCCATTCGGCAGCATGGGGACCCGAGAGAGCCTCTTGGACGGTGAGAGGGATAGGGATGGTCGGGTTCTCCGCGAAGTTGAGGGAGGGTGACTCAGTGATGTCGGGGAAGATGTGCGAGAGCTGAGGAGTGACTGCATGAAGATCACACAGCTCCTCATGCCTGTCTTCCAGAAGGGTAGAAGACATATCCCCCCCAGCAGGAGTTGGAGTGATTGCTATGCAGCGAATAATCAGGGCCAGTGGAAGAGCAGGGCCATGCGAGCGAGTGCCATGAGCCACCGGAGAGGAGGGTGGAGCAGGCGGTGTTGGAGGGGTTGATTTAGGAGACTTAGGCGGGGGAATTGGTCGCCGCTGGTACTTGATCAGTTCGGGCGACTGTGGTGGAGCGGGTGCCTGGGTGGAAGGGGGGACTGGCGGAGGAGGTGGGGCCGGGGGGTTCGACCGCCGATGGTAGGTGATTGGTGCGCTCAGGGGGGTGGCGCAGCTGGCAGAGGGGGAGGTGAGGGGGATGGAGGAGCAGCTGCCGAAGACACCGGTGAGGCCGGGTCAGTGACCTCAGAGGGAGATGGTGCGATGGCAGGAGAGGGAGGAGGTGAGGGGGCCAGTGCAGGCGGGAGGTCAGGAGGCGCATCAAAGTCTGCCCAGACGAGAGAGGGCGGATCAGAGGGAGGATCCCGACACGAGGTGGAGTAGAATGGGCGGGTCTCATCAAAGACCACGTCGCGCCGTCGCGGCTCCGGACTAGCTGTTGAGTGGAGGGGTTGAGGAAGAGGTAGTCAGGGGAGTCGGCATTGTGCCCAAGGTAGACGCACGTTTGTGTCTTGGAGCCGAGTTTGCCACCGTGCTGCCGCCTAGCCTGAGGGTTGAGGAGGACATAGGCGGTGCACCCCCAGACGCGAAGAGAGCGAGCAGTGGGTGTTTTTGTTGGTGTTAGCCCTCAATCTCACATTTTGTACTTGTACTTTTATATCCTAGTTTAGTGTAGTTTGCACTTTGTGTTTGGTTGGGTGTACACCCACATCCCAACCAAACCCAAATGCAATTTCCAAGCAATCTCCAACCCACCAATTGGAGATTGCCTTGGGATTACCCTTGATTCCCTAGGATTGCCCCCTGATTCCCTCCTCATCCATACCTTGCTCATTCCTGGTGAAGCTTGAGTCAGCTCTCAAGAGAGGGATAGGTGTTGGGTAGGGTTTGAAGGAGAGTGTCTCCTTGAGCACAGTGTGAGTGGCCCCGCTGTCGAGTGTGAACTCTATGTATTGTGGTGCCTGTGATGAGCCGATGTACTGGGAGGTAGCTTCATTAATCATGGCAGTGCCAGGGAACAACAGGTTGATACGCACATCAGCAGGAGCACTATCACTAGCACTAGCCGAAGCGGGGTCCTGTTTTTAACGAGGTTGGCCTTACGAGGGCGCATCCAGTTTGGCGGCTTCTTGTCTACTCTGTGGATGGCATACCATTCGTCGTCTTCCTTCTTGAAGCACGTAGCAAGGGGGTGGTTAGTGCCACCACACACTTGTCCCTTGCGGTTGCCATACTTGACGACGTAGGTGCACGGGGGGAAGCGGTTGCGCTGGAAGGGTGCCGAGTCGAGAGCTGCTGCGACACTTGCTTGGGGCATGGGAGCGCGGATGGCGTACGCCTTGGCCTGAGCCGTGGAGTCTTTCTCGGCAGAGAGGAGTGCGGTGGAGACCTTAGCAAAAGTGAGGTCTTCCGCTGAGAGCGTGAGGAGCATCTTCCTCGTGACTTCATATGCCGAGGTGAGACCAACAAGAAGGGCGGCTGCAGTGGCTTGTTCGGGGAAGACTATACCCAGCTCCTTGAGTTCGCCATGAATGGTCTGCACCTTGGCAATGTAGTCGGCCATTCCCGAGCAGTCCTAAAGATGGACCTGAAACATGTTGGGGATGAGAATGGCCACTCCGACCGCCATCTTGTTCATGAACCGATCCTGGAGATACTTCCAGATGGCGTTGGAGGTAGGGTAGTTGTGGAACGTGTTGACAAGTTCGGGAGGGGTGGAGGCGATGAAGACGCTGATGATGGCAGCATCGGCCTTCTCCCATTTCCGGTACTTCTCAACAGCTTCCTCGTACGCCCTCATGTTATCACTAGCGGATTAGGTCGGCTCACGGGGGAGAAGAGGCTGTTTCCCCTTGCCACGGTTGAGGAGGACGTCCTTCAAGTCCAATCCCTGCACATCACGACTCAGGAGGTGCTTGTCAACCCCATAGCTCCATGCCTTGAAGTTGGAGCTAGAGCCATCGGCTTTAAGGCGGAGTGGGGTGATGGGGTTGGCCATGGTGGACGAGGTGAAGGCCATGATGAAGATCCCTTAGTGTCTCGCGCGGAGCGACGCTCTTAAGTCACCGATAGGAACTTCGAGCGGCGCGCAGCGCGGCGATTTCGAAATCCGACGAACCCGAATAGCGAAAATCGTCAATGTCAACTGCGTCGAAATGCCTCGCAGAGAGATTTTTCAGGCCGTCGAAATTAGGTTAAATCGGCCGATTTTCTTGAAGCTAACCCTATTCCCACACACCCCCCCACACACCACCCTCAGCTTCGCGGCTGCGCTGCTGCTCGGCTTCGCGGCTACACGACTGCTCGGCTACGCTGCTGCTCGGCTGCGCTGCTGCACCTGTTCAGCTGCGGGAAGGGGGAAGGGATGGGGGTAGGAGTGCAGATGCGGGGCGACGGGCGGCAGCCCGACGAGAAGCTGCAGGGCGACGGGCGGCGGCCCGACGAGAAGCTGCGGGGCGACGGGCGGCGGCCCGACGAGAAGCTGCGGGGCGACGGGCGGCGGCCCGACGAGAAGCTGCGGGGCGACGGGCGGCGGCCCGACGTGAAGCTGCGGGGCGACGGGCGGCGGCCCGACGAGGAGAAGAAGTGACGCGATGACGTTCGACGAAAACGAGCGATAGGTTATAGCGCCGACGATGCGCTTACCAGAGAAATTGTAGGCGTCGTCGAAAGTGACGGGAAGGTGGTGCGGGAGAATTTCCGGCTACGAACGTCGCGAACCACCGGCGACGAGATTAAGATGGCTATGCCGAGGTTTGCGGGACGAGCATCTGCAAAGATAAGAGGATCACGATCCGCGTATGCGGTTGAAGGGCTCTGATACCATGTCAGAACTTAGGCTTAGAACTGATACATTAGTAGTGAGCTCAAAGCTCTTTAAATACATTAGGATGGATGAGGAGGGAATCAGGGGGCAATCCTAGGGAATCAAGGGTAATCCCAGAGCAATCTCCAATTGGTCGGTTGGAGATTGCTTGGAGATTACATTTGGGTTTGGTTGGGATGTGGGTGTACACCCAACCAAACACAAAGTGCAAACTACACTAACCTAGGATATAAAAGTACAAGTACAAAATGTGAGATTGAGGGCTAACACCAACAAGTACAAGCAAAACAAAAGCTAAAATAGGCAGAAAATGAAGAGAGCTACCTTGGAGGCGACTTGGGATGGTTCAGGTGAGGAATTTGGTACCCAAGGTGCTTGGGGTGGCCAAATGGGTGCTCAAGTCGCCCACAGTCAAGATGGGGACGTGAGGGACCCTCAAAGTGGGCCTGGAAGCGCCCCCTCTAGTGGAACCGCGATTCCACGAATTGGAAAGAAATGCGAATTCCAAGCTGGAGTCGCGTTTCCACCATAGAAATTGTCGCGTTTCCAATGGAGTCGCGTTTCCACCCTATAACTAATATAACCCAACCCCTATTGTCTACACTATTATAATGTAAACAAATACATACAACCATAAATAAACTAGTGAACAAAACCTCTAGCAAGTTCAAAGGAAGGCACCCAACAACACCCCACCTTAGGGTGACACCGAGGGAGAGTTCAAGGAAGAAGTAGCACGGCAAAGGCCGATGCAGGACTAGAGATGCTGAATTAAAATTCTCTCTACAGAAAATCCATGAGAACTCAAACGCCTCAAATACGTTTGACTTGAACATGTTCATGTTTGAGTAGAACCTGTTCATGAGCAGCCCAATTTTTTTTTCGATTCCACAAAGAATCGAACATGACAAACCTAAACCCAGCTTGACTCGAACCAAGCATGTTCGGTTTGACTTTTTCAGGTGTTTGAAACTGTTCGCGCGGAACATGTTGGAGTTGCAATAATTTCGAGTACGCCTTTGGCTCAAGCCTCCCCGGACACCCCACGTCTCAAACGCTGCATTCCCCACCCCAGCCATGTCCTCGTGTTTCTTATTCGATGCCCCCTTGTAATGGTGCATGTGTGATATGGCATGCTGTGCTCTTGTCATGTGATGGCATGACATGGTGTTGACGGTGTGTTGATGCCAGTACCGCATGGCAGGGCTAGCCATGCTCGACATCATGCAGCGAGTCGCATCCACGTGGCAAGCCATGGCCTCTGCCACGTCATCACAGAATAGCAGCGCGTCTTATGATCCCAGGTCATCACATGAAGCTACGTGCTCGCCTGCCACAGCGCTGGACAGCGAGGCTGCTCCACCTCCAGCCTCGCCTCACTCCCCCTCCCCCTCCGTGCCTCTCCCCTCACACACTGCTTCCACTGTTGCCACCGCTGCCACCGCTGCCACTGCTGTCGCCGCTGCCACGTCTGCCACCGCTGCCGACGCTGCTGTGGCTGGAAGGAGCAAGAAGTGTAGCAACAGCAATAGAGGGAAGGGTGACGCTGGAAGGCGGCGGAGGGGCAGAGGCGGCAACAGCAAGGGCAAAGGGAAGGGGCAAGGAAACGAGGTGATTGATGGTTGGAGGGAGGTGTTTGACAGCATCGTGAGGTGGAGGCAGATTGCCGAGCCCACCGACACCGTCGCCTGGATCGATGCTCTCAAGTGAGTCGCGTGGATCGATGCTCTCAAGTGAGTCGCGTGGATCGATGCTCTCAAGCGAGTCGCTTGGATCGATGCTCTCAAGTGAGTCGCGTGGATCGATGCTCTCAAGTGAGTCGCTTGGATCGATGCTCTCAAGTGAGTCGCGTGGATCGATGCTCTCAAGTGAGTCGCGTGGATCGATGCTCTCAAGTGAGTCGCGTGGATCGATGCTCTCAAGTGAGTCGCGTGGATCGATGCTCTCAAGTGAGTCGCGTGGATCGATGCTCTCAAGTGAGTCGCGTGGATCGATGCTCTCAAGTGAGTCGCGTGGTTCGATGCTCTCAAGTGATTCGCGTGGATCGATGCTCTCAAGTGAGTCGCGTGGATCGATGCTCTCAAGTGAGTCGCGTGGATCGATGCTCTCAAGTGAGTCGCGTGGATCGATGCTCTCAAGTGAGTCGCGTGGATCGATGCTCTCAAGTGAGTCGCTTGGATCGATGCTCTCAAGTGAGTCGCTTGGATCGATGCTCTCAAGTGAGTCGCGTGGATCGATGCTCTCAAGTGAGTCGCGTGGATCGATGCTCTCAAGTGAGTCGCGTGGATCGATGCTCTCAAGTGAGTCGCGTGGATCGATGCTCTCAAGTGAGTCGCGTGGATCGATGCTCTCAAGTGAGTCGCGTGGATCGATGCTCTCAAGTGAGTCGCGTGGATCGATGCTCTCAAGTGAGTCGCGTGGATCGATGCTCTCAAGTGAGTCGCGTGGATCGATTCACCTGCCATGCATCAATTCACCTGCCATGCATCAATTCACCTGCCATGCATCGATTCACCTGCCATGCATCGATTCACCTGCCATGCATCGATTCACCTGCCATGCATCGATTCACCTGCCATGCATCAATTCACCTGCCATGCATCAATTCACCTGCCATGCATCAATTCACCTGCCATGCATCAATTCACCTGCCATGCATCAATTCACCTGCCATGCATCAATTCACCTGCCATGCATCAATTCACCTGCCATGCATCAATTCACCTGCCATGCATCAATTCACCTGCCATGCATCAATTCACCTGCCATGCATCAATTCACCTGCCATGCATCAACACCCGCCATGCGTCTCCACCTTGTTGCGGGCGGGGCGGCAGGAACGAGTTTGAGGGCGCGTTTGGGTCCATCACAGCCATGGCGGTGGGCCCCTCGCGCAACCTCAAGTACCACCCGCTCGCCCCCCGCGCCCTCGCCCTCCTGCGCTCCTGCCTCCTGGCAACCCGCCTTGCTGCCAACGCTGCTGGCTTGCCCCTCCCTTTGCCAACCAGTCGGCTGCCTGAGGTGAGTCCTGCAGGTGAACATCTTTGCATGTGCGCCCCACTCACTGCGTGTCTTGTGATTGTCACGTTAGGGTTGACAGAAGAAAATTAATTGTTTGTTGGATTAAAATTTGGTGTGTTTTGAGCCTTAAATTCTTTTCTTGTTGTCGTAGCGTGTCGGCATGCTGCCATGGCGCGTGTTTTGAGCCTTAAATTCTCTTCTTGTTCACCACCAGTCCACTCATCCCCCCGGTCATCGCCCGTCCACCCCATTCCGATGTGCGTGGCGTGGGGTGCATGCATGCGTGCAGATCGAGAGGGCGGAGTCAGTGGGCGAGGTGCATGCGGTGGTGGGGGAGAACTTCTTTGTCACCACCGAATGCCACAGCCTCGCCTTCCCGGGGTGACCGCCCTGCTGCCCGCCTGCTCCCCTGCTTTCTGTCTTGCCTGCTCACCTGCTCCGTTTTTCCTAGGCTGCATTTTGTGCAAGGCAGCAACTCGCTTCGTTTTAGTCACAGGCTGAGTGCAAAGCCTTGCAGGCTGAGTGCAAAGCATTGCAGGCTGAGTGCAAAGCATTGCAGGCTGAGTGCAAAGCCTTGCAGGCTGAGGCGGGTGAGGGGCGTGAGGGGGGTGATGGGAGTGAAGCGGGTGATGGGTGGGAAGGTTCTTACCTTGGCTTGGCTTGCGTTGCAGCACACACTGCCACAGCCGCAACCTTGCAAATCTTGCACTCTGCTGTGCCACATGCATGGGTTGCCACATGCATGGGTTGCCACATGCATGGGTTGCCACATGCATGGGTTGCCACATGCATGGGTTGCCACATGCATGGGTTGCCACATGCATGGGTTGCCACATGCATGGGTTGCCACATGCATGGGTTGCCACATGCATAGGTTGCCGACTTATATTATGGATGCCAACTCTCTTTGCCCATGCCATCATTTGCTGTCCATCCTCCCGTTTATCCCTATCCCACCAGTCTCTGTCCCTTCCCACACCCCCTCCCCTGTGCTCGCCATGCTCGCATGTGGCGGCGCCAGCAAGGTGCTCAACGGCACGCAGCTCACCGTCGTCCACTCGTGAGTGCTGCTCCGCATCCTCCCCCCCCCTCTCCTCTCCTCTCCTCTCCTCTCCTCTCCTCTCCTCTCCTCTCCTCTCCACTCTACTCACCCGTCACTCTATCCACCTCTCTCCTCGCTGTGCCACACTCGTTCAACTGCGTCTGCAATGCCCCATCATAATGCTGCCCTCTCCCACCCATTCCCCTACTGTCTGCCCCGCTCGGCAGGGGGGCGGGGTTTGACTTTGCCATCCGCACGCCCGTCACGCCGCCCCGCTGGAAGCAGTTTGACGCCGAGCTGACTGCCGCGTGGCGGGTGAGAGCAGGGGGTGGGCGAGTGGAGGGGGGTGGGCGAGTGGAGGGGGGTGGGCGAGTGGAGGGGGGTGGGCGAGTGGAGGGGGGTGGGCGAGTGGAGGGGGGTGGGCGAGTGGAGGGGGGTGGGCGAGTGGAGGGGGCGCTGATGCTGCTTCCGTGTGGCGGGTGAGTGCTGGCCAGTGGCGGTGAAGAGTGGAGATGGCGCGGAGTCAGTGGTGCTGACGGGTCAGTGGACGCGACGAGTGCCCCTACTCTACTCTCTGCACTCATGCTGCTGCCGCATGTGCATTTGTGTCTGTTGCTGCTCCACACCCTCTCAAAGTCACTCGGCACACTTCCCCTTCCCACCCGCCTCTGCCTTCCCACCCGCCTCTGCCTTCCCACCCGCCTCTGCCTTCTCGTTGGGTTTGGCAGGATCTGTGTGCCGCTGTTCTGGACCGTGCCCCGGAGACAGCTGATGCCACCCGCTATCACCAGCGCATTCAGGAGAACATTCTGCGGATTGGATACTATTGGTAAATGCCGTGCTAGGGTGTGCTCTCACGGGGATGAGCGGCAGGGGGCCATGGAGTTGAGGGGCGCGTGGGGAAATGATGCGGAATGGGAGGTGGACAGTTGACAAGATATGCTGAGCTCTACATTCACCTGCTACATTTCAACTCTGCCACACTCGTCTGTTTTACATGCCTTCATGTCTTCTCTCCCCTCCTCGGTACACCCTGGGCCCTGTGGGCGGGGCAGGTACCAGTTGATGCCGTTGACGAGAGGCAGTGCCATGGTGGGGCTCATCGCTCTGCTCGGCCTCTCCATGGCTGCCGGCATGCTCCCCACCGCCCCCATTCCACGCGCCATGCAGGTCGCTGCTCCTCTCCTCCACTCTGCCACCTCGCTTCGCATGTCGGTCATTTAGTTCTGCTGCTTCTGCTCCGCCCTTCACTGCACAGCTGCTACAGCTGCTAGAGGCAGCTCATCCCTCGTGGCACTCTGCACCTCTTGACTCTGCTGACCCGCCCGTCCCCTTGCCATGAGCATGTGCAGGTGGACTGGGAGGCCATCCTGGAGCCGCACTTTGCGGCCTTCAACGCGTCGGTGGCGCCGTGGCTGTACGCGCCCGCCACCGTGCTCGCTGCGCCCTCCCACCTGCCGCTCGTGGCCCACGTGCTACCCACCACACGCCACGTCATTGCTGCTCTCAACCATCAAGGCTAACCTTCCACACCAGCCACCATAGTGCCATGTGAACGAACACTCAATGTTGGAAATCCGAATACAGTATATCGAATACTGTATACCAGTACGGTACGCTGTTCGGTTCTAGTGTGGTCCTCTTTTGTTTGCAAAGGCAACCCCACCAGCACTTAAGGCATCACTACAGGTCAAGTTCAACATGCCAACAACGTAACACTCTCATAGTTCAGCAATCCGTCCACTTGGGGACAATCTCATTCGAGCGCCGACGTACCGTATGGGCCCGGATATAGGCGCCGGCCTATTACAAGCGCCGGCGCTTCTATCTAGAGCATGGCGCTTATGGCCGTTCCTCGATTATAAGCGCCCCCCCTTTTGTACCCTTCCTTATTATAAGCGCCACCCTTAATCTCTATACTATTTTAACCATCAGTACAAACTAAAACAACATTTTAAACTACGTTGGCTTCAAAAAGCACTACAAAATGCCATACAACAGGTCGCTTGAGGCGCTTTTCTACCTAGGTGCTACTACTCCTCGTCAGATTCGGGCTCCAGGCAGTTGTTGCCAAAGAAGCCGTCGGCGATGATGTCGTCGTCGACATCCACTTCCGCCGACAGCTGGGTCCGCCTGTGCGCCATGGCGAGGTGGTCCTCACTGCCGTCAAGCGCGTTGCTGATGCCACAGGTGAGGAAGGCGCGCTTGACGAGGTCGGAGGGTACTGCTTTCCACGCCCGTGAGATCCACCGAAGCACCACTGCTGGGGGGGGGGCTTCTTGAAATTCCCTACACCACCACATAGACACCAAGGAAAGGCTTTTCAGCAGCTAAGGGTGAGAGGGAGGGATTAGGCATGCGTGAATTACGGAAAAAACGTACCTGCTGCTGTCAGTTGCTCTTGGCCCTCCTCCTCAAACCACTTCTGGTACTGCTGGCGGACAGATGCCTTGAAGCTCTTGTTGATGGAGACGTCGAGAACTGAATCCCACCCGTACAGCCCGACGGGATTACTGCAGGCACGCAGTTGAGCTCGCGGAACTTCTCCTTCACCCCCTCGGTAAGGTGGCCGCGGTAGGAATCCAGCACGAGCATGGAGCTCTTTGCACACCTGCCAAATCGGGGCTTCAAGAACGGCTTGACGCACTCCTCAAGCCAGAGGATGACGCCTTCTGCGTCCATCCACCCGTTCTCGTGGCAAGCCACGACCACATCTGCACGAAACACAAAAGGCACATAAACTGTTAGCGCGGCATGAGAAACAATAGCATACGGTAAGACAGTGGCAGTTGCTATATCTTACCTGACGGAAAGTCGCCCTTCGGCACCGTCTTCCGCTTGAAAAACACCCACGGCTTGAGCTTCACCCCGTCCGCCGTGCACGCCAGCATCACGGTCACACGCTCCTTCTGGTAACCTGCACTCCTTATGGGCACCGACCGTACGCCCGACTGCTCCATAATGGTGGTGGCGGGCATCTCCAGCCAGAGCGGCGTCTGGTCGGCGTTGATGATCCAGCAGTTCTCGATGCCGCGCTCGCGACGCATGGCTCGCACAAAACGCCAGAACTTCTTGCACTGCTCCTCGACATCTGTGAGGCGGGGGATGAGCAGGCGGGATAGACGGCAGGTTAGTACGTGAGAAAGACAAGGGGAAATAAAAGCGGAGAACGAATTCTTACGATCACTCCCGCAAACGGTCGACGGACACGGCGGTTCCTTTGCGGCGCCAGTCCAGGAGCCGCTCGTACACCTTCAACTCCATCGGGCGGTACCACGAGGCCCTCCCGCGAACGTGCATGCGCTTCCGTGCGGAGTGTGCTTCTTTGAGAAACGCCACTGCGGCCTTCCAGTTGGCGAGACACTTCCGGTGAATCCCAATCTCCCGGGCCAGAGCGTGCACCGACACCGCCCCATCCAGCATCGCGACGTACTTCAGTTTTTTCGCGGCGGTGTACCCCTTACGCTTGTGCTCGCTGATCTTGTGCCTGGGAGAGGGGGGGCGGGCATCACGGTTCTGGGTAGACGGGTGGGGTCTCTTGCGGTTAGCTGGCGGAATAGAAGGTATCGACAGTTCCTCTGGGAGCCCGTCACGTGACCAGTACTCGACACCGTCGTCGTCGTCGCCACCTGGTACACCCTCAGGAAAGACATCCTCGGCGGTGCCGCCTTGCGCGCCACCCTTCTCACCCTTATCGCCATCAGCACGGCTCGCTTCCTCGTCCTCAGCCACGCCGTCGTCAGCTCCGAGTGTAGATTCGTCCCACATGGTGCAATCTACGGGCCGGCCCCAACGTGGTCCAGGGTAAGGTGCACCGGGTACCCACTCATCTGGGGCCTTGTTGCTTTCCGGTTCCTCCAGCCACTTGTCGAACTTAGACGGAAGCAGGAGCGTGAGCACGGACGGACCCCCCGTGTGCAGAGGAGACTTCGGAATCGAAGGAGATGGAGGAACAGGAGGAGCTGGAGGTGCAGGCGGCAGAGGAGGAGCAGGAGGAGCAGGCGGCTCAGGAGGCGATGGAGGCTGTGGTGGCTCTGGTGGTTAAGCTGGGACACAGGAGTACCATCCGTCGGCGACTACATAGGCGGGTCTACGCTTGGGCTTCTTCTTGAACAAAAAGTGTGTGCTTGTTCATTCTGCCATGGCTGTTGCAGCCAGGCGGGAGAAAGCAAGAAACGGAATGCCTCCACTGAATGAAACGAGTGCTCAAATGAAAAATTGGAGGGGACCCCTTCAGGTTTGTGTCGCGGGGGCCTCGTCGGGGAAAGGCGGGTGCCACCCTGCCTAAACCCGGAGAGGAGGGTATCGTGGCACGTACCTGCCGCGCAGGCAGGCATATTCCACCCCCTTCTAGAGGGTTCGGGTGGTTTGTTGCAGCCTGGCAGCGCATGACTCTCCTATTGGGCCGCACGGTAGGATGCACGTTACCGCTGGTAGGTGCGTTGCTCTGGGACAAGATTCGAGCGGTGGGAAATCGAAGCGCCCCTGTTTTCGCCGAAATTCCATGCACGAAACCAGGCGCAGTGTACACAGTTGTGTTCGCCTTATTGTGGGCTTCAATTTTGTACTCTTTAAAACAAAATTCAATTTTGCCATTATATTAGCGCCGGCGCTTATGGTCGTTACTCAAATACAAGCGCCACCCCTAAAAAATCATTACTTATTATAAGCGCATATGCGCTTTTATCCAGGGCCATACAATACTAACCAAACTCGTGCATCAAATGTTCATGTAAGAACTGACGGTGAAGGGGAAATGGGCATACACGAAGGAGGAGAGCCATACCAAGGGAGAAATGCATCTATCCAAGGCGAGGGGAGTTCCGATCCAGCACCTCAATCATCCATGCAAAGAGAAGCACGAGGGAGGATTGATAAGTACGGGTGTGAAGAGCATGCAACGGAGCATGGTGGAATGAGAAGCGGACAGATTCGGCAACAGAGTGACGAAAATGGTCAAGTGGGTGTGGAAGGTGTGGGATTTGCCTCCTACACTATTGGTGCTTCCCCACTACGACGACTTGCGACTAACTCCCTTCTCATTGGAATTCCTCCCATGGCCAGGACTCACCTTCATGGTGGCAATGTCATACTTCCGCGTGCACCTCGTCTGCTGATTGGAGTACATTCTGTGGACAGCATGGGGTGGACGGGATACGGAATGTAGTCAAGTGGAGTCATAAGACGTGATCAAGTGGACGTGCTGGAACGTCAACTTGGTGGACAGAATGGAGACAAGCAGCGCACGGTAAAACTACCTCGACTGTCAACTGTGCCTACTTTCTTCGACCCCACTCCGCGTGAATATACGAAAGAAGATAAGGAACAGCTGCCACGCAAAATGGTGGAAGCCAGGGTGGACAAGGCGTTCACAACTGCTCCGTTTGATGGCTCCAACTTCTGCGAGTGGGCACTACGGTTTCGTATGAACGCTCGCGTCACGAACCTATGGGAGTTCTTCGTGACCCTGCATTATTCAGTTACCATGGGAAACGGTGACATTGACAACGCTATGGAGCATCTAGAAATGCTAAAGGCGGATTGCTTACAGCGTGTTGCACTCGCCTTTTGGTTCCTACTGCACAGAGTGAGCGCCATGATTCAACAACTGGACATGTTCAAAAATCTTACAGCCCGGCGTTTGAAGCATGGGAGTACTTAATGGATACTTACCAGGCCAAAGATTCGGTGGCGAAGGAAGCAGTTGGACAACCTGAAAGTGGGGAATCAAAAGAGGGTGGAGGTATACGTCAACCGCGCAATGGCTATCCGGGACAAGTTGGCACTTGTGAGGAAAATGGTGGATGAAGATACCTTCACCTTGAACCTGCTCACCTGACTACTGACACATTGGGAGGAGATGAGGCACTTGGCGATGCTACACAACGTGACAGACAGCTTCACCTTACAGCGGATGATGATTCAGGAACAGAGATATGAAGCCTTATCACAAAGGCTAACGGTGACCGGTGTCCACCTCGCATGGCTATACAAGCACGTACGGACCGCTCACCTTCTCTAATTGCTAAGGGCAACAGCGAGAAGAACAAGGGGTCCGTTGGGGAGAAAACGTATGGCAAGGATGGAGTTGCAAGTTGCTCATGTGTTGGTACTGCAAGGAGCCAAGCCATCCCTTCTTCAAGTGTACCAAGGCACCCCCTAGCTGGTCACCACCAGGGTGGGAACCGCATACCCGCGGGAGGACAAAATTGCATACCAGCAACAACCGTTTGTTCTCCCCACGAAGGAGTGGCTGCCCCAAGCGTAACCACGATGCATCAAAACAGCAAGGGGCAACTGGGGGAGACAAGCAACGTATTGTTACATGCATTGCAACGGTGGGATCTCAACAAGCAACCTTACCCTTGTCTGGAAGGTCGTCGTGGTTGCTAGAAAATGGGTGCAGCCAGCACATGACTTCGGACAAATGCTGGTTCAAAGAGTTGAAGGACCTGGACGAACCTGTATGCGTGGGGCTTGCTGTTACAGGTTATGATTGTTGAAGGACCAGGTTACGAACCTG